CAGCTGGATTGCTGCAACCGCTCGCGCCACCTACCAGACCCTAGCAACAAGTGACGATGGATTTCGTCACAGGATTACCGGCCGGCCCCAGTGGTAACGACGCGATTCTCGTCGTCGTCGATCGCCTGACCAAGATGGCTCACTTCGCCGCATGCAAGACGACGATCACGGCCGAAGAAACTGCCAAATTATTCCTGGCGACTGTCGTCCGCCTCCACGGCATCCCATCGGCGATCATCAGCGACCGAGACCCGCGCTTCACGTCCAACTTCTGGACGAAAACGTGGGACCAGTACGGCACGCGCCTGCACCTATCGACGGCCTACCATCCTCAATCGGACGGCCAGACCGAGCGGACAAATCAGACAATGGAGCAGCTGATACGCACCACGTGCACCGACCCGACACAGTGGGAAGAATCTCTTCCCTTGATTGAGTTCGCGTATAATAATGCTCCTTCGGCGACGACCAACCAGTCACCATTCTTCCTGAATTACGGGCTAGACCCTGTGACCCCGCTGTCGCCACCGATCGAAAATCCGGCGCCAAGGTCGCAGCGTTTCGTCGAGACTTTACGTAAGCATCAGCAAAACGCCGCCGAAGCCATCAACAAAGCCAACCAGATTGCTAAGCGGAATGCTGACCGAAGACGACGGGATCTTCCCCTCGCACCAGGGCAATTAGTCCTGCTCGACACCAGAAATTTGGGGGTGCCCCTCCCAAATAAACTACGCCCAAGATTTTGCGGACCCTTTCGCATTATCCGCATGGTGACACCTGTCACCGCCCAGCTGCTACTCCCTGACGACTGGCGAATACACGACTCCTTCCACGTCAGTCTCCTGCGACCGTTCGTCTCCAACACGAGTGATCTCGACCGTCAACGCCTATATCCGACGGTTCGCCCGGTTCCCGAACCCACGACCGAACCGGATAAAATTCTAGCTCACAGGGTCCGGGGACAACGAGCTTCAGCAGCCGTCGATTTCCTGGTCCGATGGGTCGATCGTACGAGCGAAGACGACCTCTGGATCTCGGCCGACACTCTCGGTTCACACCCTGCAGTTCGGGACTATTTACGCCGACGACATGTCCCAGATGTGGGTAGTCTCATCTCAGGAGGGGGGGTGGTGTAAGGAAAATCCTTTTCCTTACTGAGCTCAACCACAGCGCGTACGCCCTCGGACTTCGGAAGGCTAGGCTCGGCCTAACTTTTCGGTCCCGAACCACTAGCGCAACCAAACCTAAATGCGGGGCTGTTCCGTGGCTTTCGTCACCCGAGTCGCCCCAACCTAGTTGCGAGGTTCTCGGCTAGCGTAATTGTGCCTATAAAGTGCCGTAGCCTTTCATTTGTATTCGGACTCTTGAGTCACGTCCTGTTATTGAATTCCGCGCTACTACTCTGATTCGATACATAACAGAACTTACAAGCATGTTATAAAAAGACATTTAGTTGTTATAATATCAAGCAGTTCATCATGTCTTAGCACGAAAAATATAAGTCCTACGCAACCCTTCCGACGTTAACGTCGAATCCCGCTTATGCCCTTTCCGTATTTATTGCAATTTCTTTCTACTTCAGCAGCCCTAACCGTAACCGTTATCTCCGGCAACCGCGCTTTGGCAAGCGTATGGCCACTGAAGGAGCGAACATAGAGTCGATGCTCATAACAGCGAACATAAAGAGTTACCGCGCGGCTGAAAGTTGTTAATCCGCTCGACAATCGAAAAACACCCCTGCGACTCACTGCGCTCACTGCGACCCTCTGCGACTGAGCATACAGCTTACTGTTGGAGTTTTCTCTACGGTACAGGAACGCCATCGATGACAGCGGCATCTTTTCAGGTTCTTTTGGGCAAACGAGGGACTCTCGGTAAATTCTAGGAGGAGGACATGGAAGTCAATCCCGTTGGATTACCAGCTGTTTAGAAACTCCCATTTTTAGGTCATTAGCATCTGAGGTGGCGGGTAACTATCGCACGCGACAATGTTCCCTGGTCAGTACTCGCAGAGGCATTTCGAAGCAGTAGCGCCGTCGACAGCAGACGCGCCCGGCGTAACACTAGAAGGCGAAACAGAAATAATTGAGGCGAGTAGGCGAGGAAACGAGAGCCTGAGAAGGACGGACGACGGGAAGGCCGAGCGAGGCGGTTGCGAGAGCAGCGAGAGTCGGAGCCTCGGAGGGAGAAAGCCGTGTGAGAATAACGAGGGATGGGAGGCGGATGAAACGGCTGCCGATGAATTGGAAGAGCGGGAGGGAGACAGACGGGTAGAGGGAGAGGAGGAGGAGGAAGAGGGGGAGGAAACGGAAGAGGGGGAGGAAGCGGAAGAGGGGGAGGAAGGGGAAGAGGGGGAGGAAGAGGAGGACGACGCGGGCGATCTGGTGTGCGATGGCGGGGAGGAAGGCGAGATGGAGGACGCGGAGGGTGGCGTGCGCGCGCAGTGCCGGTCGTTCGAATCCATGTCGTCAGCGGGCAGTCGCAGCCTGTGCCTGGGGCCGGGGGGAGCGGGCGAGCCGGGGTCGCTGACGGAGTCGGAAGGGGGAAGCTTCGCTGATGCGCGCTGGCACGTGGCTGCGCCAGGCATGGGCGCGGGGGGGATGGGAATGGGGGGAATGGGAATGGGCATGGGTATGGAAATTGGTTTGGGCGCGGGAGTGGGTGCTTCAGGGATGTGGATGGGGGAGGCGCCAGGCATGGGGGCAGCAGGATATGCGAGCACAGGGTATGGTTGTTGGCATGGGCAAGGGCATGTTTCGGGGTACGGATATGGGTATGGGCATGGGCATGGGTATTGGCATGAGCAAGGACATGGGCATGGGCATGGGCATGGGCATGGGCAGGGAAAGGGACGTGTGCAAGACGAGTGGCATGGGTGCGATCAGGGGAATGCGCGAGGGGGAATGGAGGAGGGTATGGGAGGGCGTGGGGAGAATGGTAACGAGGGAGGAGGAGGGGCGGGAGGAGGAGAGGAGCGAGGAGGAGAGGGGAGAGGAGGGCAAGTAGTAGAAGCTGACTTTCGTGGTGCTGTCGGTTCTGTCAGTATTGAAGCAGCTAGAGCAGCTGGAGCGTCGGTACTATCAGCAGCTGGCGCAGAAGCAGAAGAAGGGGGGGAGCACGCCCCAGTGGAAAGGGGTTTGGCAGGAGGGGCGGTTGGGAGTGGTCAGAGTCGCGAGGCTGTGGTGTCCTCTGCTGCTGTGCATGCTGCTGTATTGCAACACGGGGGTCAGAATCAGCAGGAGGTGGCGCAGCAACAAGAGCAGCAGCAACAAGAGCAGCAACAGAAGCAGCAGCAACAGCAGCAGCAGCAGCAACAGCCAAAAGAGCTGCAGCAGCAGCAACAGCAGCGGCAACAACAGCAGCAACAACAACAGCAGGAGCATCAACAACAGAAGCACAAGAAACAGCAGCAGGAGGAAACCAAGCAGGAGAGCGGGACTGGGGAGAGCACTGCATACGCAGGCGAGGTATCCACTGCTAGAGATAGTTCCAGGAAGCAACCTCATGGAAAGGTGGAGCCACGGGTCACAAGCGAGTTAGCGAGGCAGTTCCTAACGGAATTTGCAAAGGAAAAGGCGAGTGGGAGAGACGGCGAGGAGGGGAGGAGGGCGAAGGGGGGAGCGGTGAGGGTTGATGAGAGGAAATTGTCAGAAGGGAAAGAGGAGGAGAAAGGGAAAGGGGGACCTGTAACGGCTAGAAGGATCCGTAGCTGTGACGAGTCGTATTATAAGGTGGGTACAGGTGGGGAGGTTGGCTTGAAAGGAAGGGGAGAGAGTAAGGAAAGAGGAGGACCGGGGACGAGAGCAGGGAGTGCAGAGAGAGCGAGGGAAGAGGGGAGGGAGAGTAAGGATAAGAAGGGGGAAGAATTTGAGAGGAGGGGAGCGGATGGGCGGGACGGTGGGCCGAGGGAAGAGCGAAGGGATGACAAGGAGATGAGAGGATGCGAGGGGGAAAGAGGGTTAAGGAACAAAAATCCTGGTTTTGAGAGAAGGGAAGGGAAGGAGAGGAGCGAGGAGGGGGAGGAGGAGGGAGGGAAAGGGAGGAGAGAGAGGAGGTACAGCAGTGCAGGGAAGGTGATGCAAAGAGTGAGAGGGAGCAGAGAAAGCAGGGACTGGAAGGAGGGCGGGGAAGGGGAGGCGAGGCGAAGGAGGGGGCACCACGCGCGGCATGCGAGTGCCAACAATGCCACCTCTGGTGCTGCTGCTCATGTGCCCACTGGCCTATGGGTCAGCTCCAGTGGGGTCCCCACTCCGGCTGTGTTTGCCGCGTCGGTCCCCTTGTTCCTGGCTGGGCCTCCTGCATGCGCTGCTGGGCCAATGGCAACAGCACCTAGTATGGCGGCAGCAGCAGCCACAGCCGCAGCCACAGCAGCAGCAGCATCAGCAGCTGCTGCTGCTACAGCAGGGGTGGTGGTCCCACAACCCTTTCCACCTGGTTCTGCTAGCACCAGCGGACCCCCCCATGTGTATGATGATGGCAGCAGCAGCGACGGCAGCAGCAGCAGGAGCAATGGTGGGGCGCAAGGAGGGGGAGAAGCAGCAGCAAGGGTGAGGCGCCTGCTGCTACCTGCTCCTCCTCCGGATCCTGTCTCATCCAACGCATATGCTCCCTGTCCGCCCCAATCCTCTCAGCATCCCGTCTTCTCTCAGCCGCGCTTCTCTCACCCCCCCTCCCTCCCTGCACATTCCTCACCAAACCCTTCCCAGCCACCCCCTGCTCGTGCCCTCCACCCTTCCTCCCGTTTCCCACGCTCCTCCTCCTCCTCATCCCCACCTCCGCCTCGGTCTTTCGCAGCCTTCCCTCGCTCCTCCTCCTCATCCTCCCCTCCTCCCTCGTCTCTCCTCCCCCCCTTACGTCCTCCCAGCGCCCACAAGTTCTCACCCTGTGCTGCTAGCCCGAAAAAAAATGTCCATGCGAGGCATTATTCAGCGGACAACCCTAAACCGGCCTGTAATTCACCCACGGCTGCAGCCCATGCTCTCGTTTCAGCGGATCCCAGCATGCCTGTTGCTCAAGCATCTACACATGGGTCGTATGGTCGGTCACACATGGACATGGCTCTTCCTTATGATTCTGGTGCGTTTCACATCACCACCACAACCATCACAAGCACCAGCACCAGCACCATCACCATCACCTCTCCTACTTCCCCCACCGCCCCTCTTCCTTCCTACTTCTCCCCACCCGACCCTCTCCCTTCCTTTGAACGCTCGGGTCCCGACCAATACCCTGTTCTCCCCATCCTTCGTCCCACCTCTCCTCCTCTCCCGGCCCACCCCCTACCGTACCGCCACCAACCGTTCCCCACCGCGTCACCTCACCACGGATCTGCTCCCCCTCTCTTCCCCCCAGCCCCAGCATCTGAACCCCCTTGTGGGTTTGATCCTAGACTGCCCGTGCCTTATGAGGCAGAAGTGCGTGGTTCATCAGAGGGGGGAGACGGCATGCCAGGAGCAATGGCGCATAGGGCAAACCTGGGACCCGTGTTTATTCATCAGCATGAGTGGGTAGAGGGCAGGAGTCGCGAGGGCAGTGGGGCACGCGGAGGTGCAAGGCATGAACATGCGGGTTTGGATGGGGGGGACGAAGAAGGTGGAGCAGGAGAGTTTGAAGGGTTGTCATTCAAGGGGGGTGTGGCTGAACTGGGTAGGATAGGAGACGGTTGGAGAGATGTGGAAGGAGGGGGGGTGGGGCTGGGAAGAGGTGTTCCATGCCGGCGGATTGTGTTGGGATTGGGAACACGAGGAGCCCGTGTTGGAAACGCGATGGGAGCGGATACAGGTGAACCAGCAAGCACAGGCATGCAGCAGCAGTTGGGAATGGGCGTCATGGTGTTAGGAGCAGTGGGAGCAGCGGGAGCAGTGGCTGGAGTGGGAGCAGGGGAAGCAGGGGGAGCAGGGGGAGCAGGGGGGGCTGGGGGGCCCAGTGATGCGTCCCTCTCACCCTCACTTTCCTCGCCTTCCTCCGTCTCCTCATCTTCCTCCTCCTCGTCCCGCTCAGCAAGGCCGAGGGCTGGGGGACGAGCGAACCCATCAAGACCTCGAGCGACCGTCGCAACAGTTCCAGCCATATCACCAGCAGCAGTGATGGCAGTGGAGCATGAGACACAGCTTGATATGGTGCATGATGTGAAGGAGCTTCTACCCGGCCCATCTTTTTCTTCTGTACCCTCCTCTCCATCCTCCTGCTCTGCCTCCTCTTCCTCCTCTTCTTCCCCCTCGTTCTCATCCTCCCCTCCAGCTCCCAAACCAACATCTGCATCAACAGCAGCTGCTGCAACCAACACAGCCACCGCTGCCGCCGCCGCTGCTGCTGCAGCCGCAGCCGCAGCAGTGGAGGGATCTCTGAGGGAAAGAGCAGGAGCAGCAATGGACCCAGTCGAGCTCCTCAAAAGCGAGATGCTTAAGGGAGACCCAGTGGGAATCCTCGCTGCAGCAGAGGTCATCCGGCACTTAGCTAAGCGCAGCGCTCGGTGGCGCGAGCACATCACAGTGGCGGGTGGAATCCCGCCGCTGCTCGCTTTGCTAAAAGCTGCACAGCACCCGGTGTTAGTGGAAAGTGCAGCAGCAGCAGTGAGGAATCTGGCGATCGAGGAAGTGAGCCGGAAGCTTCTGCAAGCGGTAGGAGCAGTGGGTCCGGTTATAGCTGCTCTTGTAGAGGCAGGAGTGGAGATTAAGGAGGGTACCGGCAGCGAGGGGAGCGAGAGAGAGAGTGGGAGTGTGGGTTTGAGAGGTGAGCACAAAAGGAGGGCCTTCTCTCACGGGGAGGGCTATTTTGTGGGTGTTTCCATGGGTACAAGTGCAGGTTCGGGTGCAGGTGCAGGTGCAGGTGCGATCGCAGGTGGTGGTGCTGCTCTAAGCAACAGTGGTGGATCTGGCATAACGAGAGACCCAAAGGACCAGAATCAGAGCGTTGCTGAGAATTTCTCATCTTCTGAACCTGCTGCTGCTGCATCTATGGCCCATGCCGCAACACCTAGTGGCACCGGGTCTAGATCTCCTGCTCCTGATCCCCCCCCTGATCCGGCTCCCCGCCTTGTGAGCTCCCCTGGAACCACCAATCATCGTCGCGTGGCCAGCGCAATACAAGGCTCCCTTGGAGTTCTTGCCAGCGGCAGTGGCAGCAGCAGCAGCGGCAGCAGCTACGGCAGCGGCAACGAGACGTCGTTTGCCATCCAGGAGCATGCAGCTGCCATTCTCTTCAGCCTTGCCAAGAGCGACGACATGAAGAAGGAGATCGGGCGCCTGGGAGCCATTCCCCCTCTCGTCCGCCTCTTCTCCTCCTCCTGCCCCACACTCCCCCTCAACTCCCCTTCCTTCTCCTTCCGCGTCGCCCCGACCCCTCCGCACCCCCTTCCACCGCACAGCATCTCTCTCCGCGTGCTCTACTATCTCTCAGTGTACCGGCCGAACAAAGCCCTGATTGTGGCAGCGGGTGCTGTGCCGTGCCTGCTGTCGGTGGTGCGGGAGCAAGACTCCAAGTCCATGCTTGCAGATGATTGCGTGCTGCTGCTCACATCACTGGCTGCGGTGCGGGAAGGGCAAGAAGCGATTGTGGAGAGTGGCGGGATTGCTGTGCTTGGGAGGGTGCTGGAGGATGGGACGATGCTGGGGAGGGAGAATGCGGGTGCGGCGCTGCTGCTGCTGGCACGTGCGGAAGGGGAGTGGCTTAAGGGTATAGTGGCGGAAGCGGTGCTGCCGTCTCTTCTGGAGATTGTAAATGGTGTGGGGCAGAGCAACCGAGCACGGTCTAAGGTGAGTGTTTGTGCGGGGTGAGGTATATGTGTGTGCGTGCATGAGAGAGCGAGTGGGTAAGAGGAGTACGAAAGCGGGGATAACATTGACAGGCAATGCCTTCAGGTCATCATGACTGATTTGCCCTGTGTCCCACCCGTCTAATTGCCTTTCTCAACTGTCCCTCCAGGCACAGGAGCTGCTGAATCTCATAAGGGGAGCCCAGCGGCGGCCGGTCACAGTATTGGATAAGGTAAAGCAGGAACTGAAGAGCAAGCCTCACTACAAGGGACAAATTGACTAGATTGCATCTCATGCTGCTCAATTTCACAGGAGCAGCAACACTAGCACTCGCGATAGGTGACGGATTGGAATAATACGCGATGTTCAGTTTCATTTGAATAGCTGCCCGTTTGTAGCTACATCTAGGTGCACAGGTGTGAATCAAGGTGTTTCATCTCCTATTGCAAGTGTAGGTGTCCATGTGCACAGTTTGTGTAAAGATAATGGATAGTGATGAAGCCTTATAAAAGCACCTGCTTTCAGGGAGACAACTACAGAACCCCAAGTCCAGCAGTCGTCTCGTGCGCGGAAACACACGCTACCCGACACGGCAGGGCCACACAGCTGTTTCCAAACCAACTGGCGAGACCTTACATTTGGACAACCCGACAATTTGCCTGATTGGTGCAATCGGTTGTGACATTGGGGCAGGTGGGGTGGAGAGATAGGGCTGCTGGGATATCCATACTGCAGTTACATGAGGGAAGGACGGATATCCACTCGATACAGGTGAAGGAATTCGCAGTGTCCGAACGGAAGTGTCACCGGACTGTATCCTGCCCAAACCTGGACTGCGTAGGCCTGTGAGGAGGGCACTCACACCAGACCAGAACCAGAACTGTACTCTAGGGCCCTGATCTGTGGCCTCTTAACTCAGAGTTAACTGGTTTCGAGGGGGTCTCATTAACTCAAACCTCACACGTACGTTACAATCACACCGTGCCAGCTAACTCTGAGTTAGCAAATAAGGGCCACGTCTACGCAAAGTAACAACTCAGGGTATGCTCCGTAGGAAGCTTGTGGGGAATCTTCTTTCACGGGCAAACTAACTCAGAGTTAGTGCTCTCGCTCACTTTGGCTTTTGGGGTAAAACTCAATACACTACTCAGAGCGCGATTCGAGCAGGGTAAACCTAGTATAACTTCGATTTGGTAAAATTTCTGACACATTTACCCCGCCCGACTAACTCCCACCAATCATATTTTTATTTGTTTGCCATCCTGCCGTAAATGTTTTGTTTTATGCGATCGGGGCTGTTAGGGAACAGCCTGAAACTTTTTACGATAGAGCTCTCGAGAACCCCCACGCAACTTCCTTAACTCGGAGTTACGAAGGGCCACAGATCACCCACGTGAGTTACTTCTCAACATTCACACGAGCGTAATGATGCCTTGCCGGTGTACTCATCCGAGCCTACACGGCTCGGTAACTCTGAGTTAGCTAACTCTGAGTTAGGGACACAGATCAGGGAAGGAATGAAACCACACATCAGTACAGTGCCCACACTCGCGTCATTTTGGGCCGTACAGTACACACCTCGATCGAGTGTTGCTGGTGGTTGTTGATCGAGCGTTCGGTAACGGGAGCGATTCTGTTCTCTACTGTAGTTTGCCTGTCAACGGTACGACAGTGTCAACTGACCCAGAAACCTTTGAACCCACTGCTATCGTTTCATGTTTTGGACTCTACCGCCCAGCCCTCTTGCGAAGAGGCCATCTGGCCCTCACTTCCTCCCAACCACCCCACCCCCCCACCAACCACTCCCCCATTTGCCCCGTCCCTCTCACCCCAGCAGTCCCCCGCCTTTCGCCCCTGTCCCCTGCTTCCCCCCTCCCGCTAACTCCCTGTACCGTACTGTACATATTTCCCTCCCTCCCCCTCTCCCCTCCCCCGTGCTTCCCCTTGGTCCCCTCCCCAACCGGGAATGCTGCTCCGCGGAACAACAAACGCTGTTCGTCCCTCTTGCTTCTCATCTCACAGTCCCTCTCCACTCCATCCCTCCCCTTCTCTGGTGTGTCCCACATCCGGCCGCCATTTCCCACTCTCGCAGCTGACCAGCTTTATCCGTCGCGAATCTATCAGCTTCTCTACATTCGTGTCTTTCCTCCCGTTGGAAATACACACGTGAAGCGTCCCCGCGAAGCTCTTTAGGTAGGAGATAGCGTCTCGTAATGCGCCTTGTGAGCACGATGTGCGGCGCCGACTAGTGTCGTCCATTTTCCAAATTATGATTTTTCAAGAAGCTACGATTTTTTTTTCCCTTGATACCTAATTGATATCCTTGCTTCCTTACATTGCGACTTCCTGTGATCAACGTATCCGCGAAAGTGTCTGTACTTCCTACTGGCCACCTTAGGAGGATCTTTTAGTCTCATCGTCCCTGCTTTCGGCATTCGCGTGACGAACGCGAACTAGACCATTCTTCGCTTTCCAAGAGCACGGTACTAAGAAAGGGAGCCATGCACCTGTTACGGCCATCAACGCCGCTTCATAGATTTCGGCGGTCATTGCGGAGAGAACTTTCCTCGTGCGTTCACTTAACGCTAGGTCAAGCCATACCTCGATGCGTGAACCATACCTTGTATTGGCTTTCACGACCTCCTTACCTCTCATGCCAAGCTAGCTGCTAGCAGCTTGGTAGCAAGAATATCTGTTTCGGGAATTCACTGGTAGAGCTATGCGTCTCCCATCTCGTCATTAAGCGCGTCACCGCCGTCATTAACCCGTGTCGCCATTGTTTCGTCACCAGCACCGCCATCGCCATCGCCATCGCCATCGCCATCGCCGACGCCGACGCCGACGCGGCTCTCCCCATCCTCCCCCTCTTTCCCTTCCTCCCCGCTCTCTTTGCGCTCGGTATACCGTGGAAAACGGGTTTATATGACACGTGCGTTAAAGTAATTACCGCGCAAGTCTTTCTTATCATGTATAAGAACATCAACCAGCTCCTTACCCCCAAAAGCCAGCGCCGCCCGCGGGGTTCCGCGCACGAAGCGGATGGCGCGGAGTCCCCGGGCGCGGGGGGAGCTGACGACGCGGACGGGGATATCGGTGGTGGCGGAAGCGGTAGTGCGCGGAGCGGCATTCCCCCGCTTGGCAACGACCAGAAGCAACGGCACCGGAGCGCGGTTACCTCCCCTTCCGCCTCCCCCGGTTCGTCTGGATCCCACAGTAACAGCAGCGGCAGCGGCGGCGGAAGCAACAAGCACAGCAGCAGCAGCAGCAGCAGCAGGCGCATCGGAACTCCGCTCGCCGCACCCTCCAGCCCCGGATGGCGCATGCCCGGGGGCGCTCTGATGAGCCCCGGGCGCGGGGGAGCCAAGGGGAAGAGCGTAGGCGGAGGGGGAGCGGGAGGGGGAGGGGGAGACTCCGCAAAATGGTCGTTCGGGCTTCAGGACTCGTCCTCCCTACGATTAGGCTCACCGTCCCTGATAGGCCTAGGCGACGGGCAGCTGAAAAAAATGGTCAAGCGGATGTTTCCGCCCCATCCGGGAGGGGGATTCAAGGGGTTCTGGGGAGTGGGTGGCGGGGGAGGGGGGAGCGTGGGGAGTGGAGGCGGGGCTGGGGGGGGAGGAAGCGGGGGGAGTGTGAAGACGGAGGTACTAGCGTTTGAGATAGGCAGTGTGATGAGACGGTCTTTGGAGATATATGACTGCATGGGGGAGAAGACACTGGCCTCTCTGCGATCCAACCTCCAGGTAAACGACCGGCACGGTAGTTTTGAGACGTCTCAACGCAAGTAAATGACGGAATTGGATAGTCGAGTGGATGGATTTCATTTGCCACCTCTTGTTGTTCTCTCGCTCTCTGCTCCTCGTTCCTGCGTTCCGCCTTTCGCCCCTCTATTCGTCCCAAGCCTGATCACATTGCCTTCAAACCGTGTGAGGCATCATCCATGAAAGTCGTTCACCCGCGTGCTTTTCTCCTCTCCTTTCCTCTCCTCCCCGCTCCACTCTCTTCGCCTCTCTGCGGTGCTGTGCGGTGTTGCAGGCACCTGGAGTGGTCACGCTCATCTCCAGTGACCTCAGACTGCTCTGGAACCTCGCAGGTACGCCCTGCCGTTCTTTGCCATGCCACGCCATATCCTTTGCACTACAAACGAAACCACTTTTCCTGTCTTCACCACTCTACTACTTTCCTTCCCCTCCTTCCCTCCCCCTCACAACCTCCCCCCTTCTCCCCCCTTCCACCATTTCCTCCCCGCCTCCCCCTCCCCTTCCCCCGTCCTCGCCACCTCCCCTCCCTGAACCGCAGGGGTGGAGAAGCTGTTGGAGCTGCAGCGGGTGGCGGCGCGAGTGGCAGTGCTGGGGCGCAAGTGTCGCAGTGTGCGCCTGCACACGCTGGGAGACCTCTTCCCGCTGCTGCTCTCCCCCGACTCCGACCTCTCGCACTTTGCCGTCTCCCCCGCTGAAACCGACGCACTCATCAAGTATGTGCGCTTGCTACTTCTAGTGCAGTATATGTGTGCGTAGTTGTGGGAGTCTGAGCATGTTGATAGGTCTGGAATTGGACTGGTTTGATGGGCAGATGCTCCGCTGCTTCTCCCACTCGTCTGCACCCCGCTCACTGTGCATCCTTGGATGTGGATCGTGCATTGCATTGTCGCATGTGGGCATGGTATGTGTGGCATGTGTGGCATGTGTGGCATGTGCACGCATGGCATCTATGGCGTGCATGGGATGCATGGAATGCATGCATGTGTGCATGAATGACAGATTTATGAGGGAGCAAGCGGAGGCGACAGAGCGACTCAAGTCAGAGATGGAGGCCATTCAGCAGCTGCACCACCGGTGACCATGCACACTCACACATGCACACACACACTCATTCACACACATACACACACACACACACTCTCTCTCTCTCTCTCACACACACACACACACACACACACGCGCACGCACATGTGCACGTGCGCCCCCACACACAACATTCATGGTCCATACATGTGCCCAGTAACAATTTCCCTCCCCCCGTCGCTCGCCTCTTTCTCTCCCACTCCTCTACCTGACTCCATCCCGACCTCCCATCCTCTCCCAGACACCCTCTCTGTCTCACGCCCATTCTCTCAGCCAAACCTCTCCCCTGATCTCCCTCTCAACGTTTCCTCCCCTCCGCACAGCTCGCTTCCAACCCCACCCCCCTCGACCCTCCCATCATCCATTCTGGCCTACTGTGTCACAGCCAATCCGTTGCTTCCTCCCTTTTCTTGGTTAATGTGGCAGCATCCAGGAGTATGGAGAGTGGAACAAGCTGCAAGACATGGTCGCCCAGGTACGGCACAGTGGCAATGGTGCCTTTAGGTTCGGCACAATGGCCTAGGTATGGCATGGTGGCACAGGTTCGGCACGGTGGCGCCCGTTGTGTTTTTTCAACTCCCCTCCTCCCCTTCCCACCCTCTTCTCTACCCCTCGCACTTCTGAGCCACACTGTGACCTGATCGAAAGCCCATCAAATGCCTTCAACTGCAAGACCTCCCACCACGCCTTACTCACTTCTGCAACTCGCCCTTCCACCCGCCCTTCACCCACCCTTCATCCCCCTTTCTCCCGCCCTTCACACGCCTTCCTTGCCCGTCCCTCTCCCCTTCCCTTGCCCCCTTTGTGTGTGTGCGAGCAGGGCAAGTCAGTGGAGAAGCTACAGTCGCACTGCCTCTGGTCCTTTGACCTCGACTATCTGCTGCAGGTACCACCTCGCATCTCGCACCTCGCACCTCGCACCTCCCACCTCGCACCTCCCACCTCCCACCTTCGCAACCACCGCTTCAGACCTCTCTCCTGCACCTTACCTTACGTCCCACTCCGCCCTGCCTCCTTCCTCCCCTGGCTCTTCTGTCTTCCGTGCCTCCCCCCCTCATCCGTTGCCTCCTGCCCTCCTTTTCCCTGCCCTCCTTTTCCCTGCCCTGTGCCCCTTGTCCCTTGCCTTTTGCCCCTTTCTCCCCCCCGCACACATAAACTTCTCCCGTGCTCCCACTCCCCATCCCCCTGTCCCCGATCGTCTCCCTCCCCTCCTCCCCGTCCGCACCCCCAGCTGCTAGTAGCAGCCCTCTGCATGATCCGCCGGCGCATCTTCGCGTCCTTCGGCCCGCCGCCCTCCTCCGCGTCCCCCTCGGCGCCATCTCTGGTAGTGGGGTCGCTGGGCGCGTGGGGGCTCGCGCTGCACTATGCCAACGTGGTCGTGCTGCTGGAGCGGATTATTCAACAGCCAGATGCTGTTATGGGACCCACCAGGTGTGACAGTGCTGAGACATACCGGGGTAGGGTTGTGTGGCATGGCATGGCATTCAGAAGAAGCACCCAGAAGACTTCCTGCTTGCTGTGCAGCTGTGCTGCCCAGCTGGTGCCCGCCTCCTTCAATCAACTCCAACCCAACCTCCCCTCCCCCCTTCCCCCCCTCTCCCTGGCTCCCCTCCCTTCCCTCTCTCCCACTCCCCTGCACCATCCATGACCCTCCCAGGGACGAGCTGTACGACATGCTACCGCGCAGCATACAGCATGCGCTACGCTGCCAGCTGCAGGACCCCGAGAACTTTCTCCCGGACGGGCGAGTGGAGGCGAACCTGAAGCGCGGGCTGCTGCTGCTGCCCACCATGGCGCACAACACCATCTTCTGGCAGTCGCTGCACACACCGGGGACCCTCATGGGCGCCGATGAAGTCGTCTTTCAAGTGCAGGTGGGTTGGGGGGATGGTGGGGGTGGGTAGGTGGGTAGGTGGGTGGGTGGGCGAGTAGTTGCGAGGGTGAATGGCGTAGTCTTCTTTTGCTGTTTCCTAATCTCAATCACGCCACCATGCATCACTCGTGCACCGTGCCCACCCCCTTCCCGCCCACCACCACCAGCCGTTCTAAAATGCATGCAAGGAGGCAGTAGACGCAGCTCTTATAGACGTGTTGCTAGGCCTGTGCTGCATCTGCGGTGTGCCATGCGTCAACCATACCTTCTCTTCTTCAAACCCACCCCTCCTCCCACTCTCCCTCCGTGCCCACCAGACGTTCTACTATGCGTGCAAGGAGGCAGTGGACGCAGCTCTCATAGACGTGCTGCTTGGCCCGTCCCACAGCACCATGGGCAGCAGCACCATATGTGCCACCCGTGCCCTCTCCAAACCCACCCTGCCCTCCGTCTTTCCTACCCCCTTCTTCCCCACCACCACCAGACGTTCTACTACGCGTGCAAGGAGGCAGTGGACGCGGCTCTCATAGACGTGTTGTTGGGTCTGTGCCGCATCTGTGGGGTAGAGGAGCCCATCTCAGGGCCCTTCGCGCCCTCCTACCCCATCCCCACCTCCCTCTCCTCCTCCAACCCCTCCTCCTCCTCCACCTTCTCTCCGCGGTCCCTCGACTCGTCTACAGCCAGCAGCGGCGGCGGGAGCTTTAGGAAGGGTGGGGGAGGGTATGGAGGGGCTGGGAGTGGTGACGGGATTGGGGGGTATGAGGAGACGGATGAGCAATTTTTGGCGAGGTATGGAGGGGGGGCGAGCAGGGTGGTTAGCAGTGCGGCTGTGGAGGGGTGGGGGGGTATGGTGGTGAAGGTAAAAGAAGACATGACAGAGAGGAGAGCATGGCGTTTGCAGCAGATAGAAGCGCAGGAGAAGGAGAGGGAGAGGGAGCGGGAGAGAGAGAGGGAGCTGGAGAGGGAGAAGGAGCGGGCGAAAGTGCAGAGGACGCGGGAGAAAGGGGGTTGGAAAGGGGAGAAGGGAGGGAAGAGCGAGAAGGGGGAGAAGGGGGACAGGCGTGAGTTTGTGGAGATGGGTGTTGGGGAAGGGAGGAGGGGCTCTGGATGGGAGGATGTTCCGAGAATACTCAGTTCGGGTGAAGGGGCAGGCAAGAGCACGAGAAGAACAGAGAGGAGGGACGGGAGAGACTCTGAAACAGCAGGGCAATATGAACATGGGCTGGGAGCAGCAGGGAGTGCAGACGATGGCAGAGGGGAAAGACGAGGCGAGGGGGGGGGTTTAGGTTTGGGAGAGAGAGGAGCGGGAGAGGGCGAGCGAGCAGAGAGGGGCGGGAAAGGGGGAGCATCAGGCAGAGGAGGAGCAGGTGGCGGGCAGACAGGGGCCGACTGGTGGGAGGCTGGGAAGGAGAAGAGCAAGAAGGGCGCAGGGGGGGGCAGTAGCAGTGGGATCGGGGGCGGGGGCGTGAGCACCGGTGGGGCCGGGGGTCCGGGCGGGGGTGGGGGTGGGAGGGTTAAGGCGGTGGCATTGGATACGAGCAACAGCGGTCGCATGTCCCGCTCGCCTCTGCGCATGGTCACTGCTGTGCTCTCCCGCAACCGTGCCGCCACCACCAGCAGCAGCGGTGCCAGCACTCCCGGCACTCCCGTCGGTTCCAGCAGCAGCAGCAGCAGCAGCAGCAGGAGGAGGGTGTTTGTGGAGCGGAGTTGGAGCGAGGGAGGGGTGGTGACACGTGCAGATAGTGAGGAGCGGGGTGTGGTGCGAGTGAACAGTAGCGGGAGCCTGTGGGGCGAATCAGATGCGGATTTGGCTGCTGCTGCTGCAGCGGCAGCAGCATACGTTGCTGCTGGCCGGGCTGCTGCTGGTTATAGCGCAGGTGCTGGCCCTGCAAACGGAGCACATGCCGATGATGGCGCTGCTGGTGCTAATGGCAGCAGTGGGGCTCCCATCCCATGGTCGGAGTCTGATCCCGTGGTGCAACTACCAGCTTTAGAAGACCTCAAACACACCATGCTCGCCTCTTCCGCTGCTGGAAAAGCCGGTGCCACGTCTGGGGGCAGCAGAAGGGGCGAGAGGGAGAGCGAGAGGGAGCGGGGGGGCGTAGGCGGGGCAGAGGGAGCAGGGAGACGGCGTAAGGTGCAGCGGAGTGTGAGCCTGAGTGGTACGGCACTCAATCTTGCTGCTGATGCTGTTGCAAGCAGCCCCGCCCCTGCCACTCCAAAGAGGGGCTTCTGGAAAGGGGGGAGTGAGAAGGAGCGGCGGAGAGACAGGGGATTGGATTTGGATCATGTGTATCATGGGCAGCCGGTTGGGACTCCTCGCGTTTCTGGCCGGCGAACGGTTGGGGAGGGAGAAGGAGGCGCAGGAGGAGGGAGGAGTGGGGGAGGGGAGGGGAAAGGCGTTCGGTCTGCGGCGTCGGCAGCTGCGGCGGCTGCGGCTGCAGCGGCAGCGGCAGTGGCAGCAGCAGCTAGTAAGAGCCCGCTTACTGGGGTAAAGGCGAAGAAATGGAGAGATCGGCTGGTGAGAGGGTCGTTTGGTGGTGGCGCTGACGGGGCTTCTGCTGCTGCTGCCACCGCTGCTGCTGCTGTGGAGGCACCTGAGGAGGAGGAGGAGCGATTTGGTGGGGAAGCAGCACTGCAGGACTATGGGCACGGGGATGGAGAGGGAAGAGCGGGAAGGGAAGGTCTGGAGGGGAGAGAGTATGGATTGGGTGGTGGTGGGTATGGTGATGGGTTTGGGTTTGGTGGGAATGTTATGCATGATGGTAATGCTGGTGGTGGTGGGGTAGGGGATTATGATGATGATGACGACGATGTGTGGGGCAATCTCAAGGCACAAAAGAAAAAGGGAGCAACATAGCAGCGCGCGCAAGCGAAGCCAGTCATTGAACCGCAAATCACTGGCATTTTCAACATGAAACAAACACCTTACCCTACAGAAGCAGTGTGGTGGGGGGGGGAGGTACAAGTGTCCCCTCCTCTCCGTGTTTACAATGGTGCATCATCTCAATTTCTCCCTTTTTTGTATTAGTGTTTATTTTCAAGAGAGCATCCGCTCTTTGCAGGTGCTGCATTGCATAGCTTTGTGTTTGACAATAACTGCTTGCCTTGCTCTTTGTGTAATTGTGCTCATTCTCCTAACATAACTGTATTTTATTGCAACCGATTTTACAGCAGATGTATTTGAATATTGAGGCCACTGGACACTCTCGTCTGCTTATGTAAGGAATTTTCCTGAATTCCTTATCGGGGTTGATTGCTTTGCGTACAACCCGATTTTCGGAGTTCGCACGTTCGGCCGATTTCAACGTTGCCGAGGCTCCTCGCGTCGCCTTCGGCATGTCCATCGCCAAACCAGGGCCTACGATATCAGGAAATTTTCCCTGAAATTCCTGATTTCCAGGGTTTTTTTTTTAGCTAGCCTGATTTTCCAGTGTTCAGCTTTTAGTGGGGCTGATTTTTCAGCCTTTACCTAGCACATGACTCTGAAATTTCAGCAATTTTTTCCAAGTGACAGTGATGCCACTACGTTGTAACGAATCCGACCCTGAAAGCGATTCCTACACAGGCCGAGTGTAGTTGCCCGGCTGTACTAGGAATATCAGATTCCCGCGGTGTCAGCAGGGCGTGGCGGTGAGTAGAAGACAAATTTGCCCTCGACCAGGGATGCATTGTTGGCGCGCGTGCTGCGATGATTGGCCACTTTGACAGCATTTCCTGATTTGGCCAATTACGGGGTTGCAGAGCAACGAGAGATTCAGGCCCATGTGATGCACATGTGGACCTGTGGCCCTGTGGCCCGGATTGTCGAAGACGTACTGGCAAGAACGGATGCATCCACGCCGCCCTGCTGTGCTACCAGCCATCCAATCTCCCACCCCAGCCTGCTCCTGGCTTTCCTTCCATCTAGCAAGGGTACGGTTTCAACGTGTTGCTGCCTTGTGGTGTACCAAGAGGCAGTCAGCCGTGTTTTCTCTCTTCCTGGCAAACCTCCGTTAGGCTAGCTTGGTAGTGCCGTTAGATGCTGCTCGTTTGCGCTGCAGCCAATGGCGGACCACCCGGACGCCATTGAACGACCTGATGACCACGACGATGAACCCGCTCGTCGTTCGCCAATCGATCTGTCCGCGGCAGTTACCGGACTCGATCTGCTATTCTCCAGCTTAGCGGCAGTAGATAACCATGGAAAGGATCCTGCAGTCGCGCCGACCGTCAACATCCCGTTTGAACCAATCGACGAGCCGCTGTGTCCCTCCCCAACTGCGCCCTTGTTGGAGCAAGACAGCTGCAACCCTGCAGGTGAAGAATCTGCGGCGGTACCTGTGGCTAAGAAGTCCGCCAAGTACATGCAGTCAACGATTCCGTGGGGCAAGAAGGGAGGCACCGTTGGAGCAGCACCGGCTTCGCCAGCCGACCAACGGTCGACGCCCGCGACCGCAGGCACGCAGGCGTCGCCCTCAACACCTGGGCCTTCTAAACCTGGGCCTTCCAAACCAGCAGAGCCAGACGCAACTTACGCCGAGGCTCTGTACAAGTACAAGAGCGAGTGGCAAGAACGATTTCCTTGGGTCATACTGCTAAAAAAGGCTGACGGTTTCCCTGCTTTCAAGTGCAGGATCTGTACGGAGCATGCAGGCTACGCTGGACCGTGCGGGAGAGGCGGAAAGGGCGCCACAGACGTTCAGACGCAGGCGTTCAAACGGCATGCGACAACTACGAAGCACAAGGAGGCGTTGAAACACCAGAAGAAGCTACTCGACGAAGCATCCACGCAGCCACGGATCAACAGCGACAATCTCGCTCGCGACACGGAGAAGGAGCGTGTCAGCAGGCTCCTCGACTCGCTGCTCTTCGTGACCAAGCAAGATGCACCCATAGAGTTATGGGTGAATCTCGTGCGCTACCTCGCGCGACTGAAGGTGCCTGGGTTCCCCGCTAAGGGCTACGGTACCTATTACACGGCGTGAGTTACCGTTTTCTCGGGTTGCAACCGTGTATATGTAGATTAATAACCGGTCTAACATTGTGTTGTTTGACCTGCGCTGCAGATACGGCTTTGGGCAGTTGACTCAGTCGATGGCTACGTGGTTGCACACAACGCAACTGCAGCACATCCTTAGCAGCCCATACCTAGGCATCACATGTGACGAAAGCACGGACAGGTGCTCTGGAAAGCACATGATTGTTTTCGCGTCTTTCATCCGTGACTGTCGTCCCGTGACTGAGTTTCTTGCCCTGCTGACCGTGGAGAAGGGCGATGCAGCCTCTCTCCTGTCAGTGCTCTTATCCCACCTGCAGGCCGTGGGCATTGAATTGGCGAGGATATCCGGCATAAGCACTGATGGTGCGAGTGTCATGATGGGGAAACACAACGGCCTGGTCGCACGACTTCGCCTGCGCATCCCGCACCTCGTCTCGAGCCACTGCATCGCCCACAGGTGGGTTCTTATGTTGTGTTTCCTGCACCCCTTAATGAATCCGCAGCCACCCGTGGTAATCACTAGTTGACCTGGTTTGCTTGTTGTTGTGCATGCAGGGAGGCGCTCGCCGCAAAGGCCGCCGCTGAAGAACTCCCCGAGTTTGGGATGGTGGACGCCCTGCTCCACCAAGTGGCAGAGTACTTGGGGCGTTCGGGCCCGTGGCATCAACGGTTCATGGGCTTGCAGGAGGTCTTCACGAAAACGAACCTGGAGCTGCAGGGGATCCACGACGTCCGCTGGCTCTCCCGCGGTGACGCCATTCTGCGCGCGGTAGAGGTGTTCCCCGCGCTGATCGTGATGTTGTACGAGTGGGACAACACCCTGTACAAGCTCGTCACGAGCTACAGGTTTCACTTCCTGCTATATTTTCTTGCAGACGTACTCGAGCAGCTCAATGTGCTGAACAAGGCATTCCAGCAGCGTGAGGTGAGCATGGTTTCGTACAAACCTTGAATATGTGCCCTGTTGCTGGTTTTGCTCCAATGTTTGGTGTTACTACCACAGCTCTGAGCTGGTCTACCTTCCACAATTTTTCATCCATGTTGAACCCCCAACAGCTGGACATTGCTGGTGTTCACGGGCAGATCCGCCGGCCCATCTCCTTCCTTGAGTCCCGCTACGTCGACTGCGGTGACGACTTTGGAGGCGGTGTGAGCGCGCGACTCTCGCCATTCATCAAGAAGCACGGACCTGAGGGGGGCAAACCCGAGGTGAAGGTGCAGGGAGTCGACTCGGACGGGCGGCCCACTACACATATCTTTGAGCTGCACGAGGAACCGGACGACGACTACCCGACTCTCGGCTCCCACGACGCCTGTGTCGATCTCTGCACCACCTTCTCCAAGGCGCTCGTAAAAAACCTCACCATACGGTTCAAGGACCTGGACTCTCTGGTGGGAGTGCGGCTGTTCATGCCCGACGAGTGGGAGCTGGGGAGAGCGGAGCGCCACAGGCAGTGTCTCGAGTGGCTCGAGTCTCTCGTGAGGTTGTTCAGGGCACAGGACACGGACTACATCATTCAGGTATTCCCGCTCTCGCTTTGTGCCTGACCGTATGTTACAACTGTGCGTTTTAGACGTATACCAGCCTGTCTAACTCCCCTCTTTTTCCCTTCTGCCTGATGTGGCAGGGGTCGACAAGCGGCGTGCGATCAAGGAGCTGCGTGCCTTCTGCCCCATCCTCGCTGGTGCCCCAAAGAACGAGCGCAGCTTCCTCGCCGGCCTCACAGCAGTGCTGAAGACAAGCGAATGGGCGGCAAGCTACCCCAATCTGGTGCGTCTCTGGGTGGCTGTCGGCGTGCTGCCGCTCAGCACTGTGGAGTGTGAGCGCGGCTTCTCACGCCAGAACGTGATCAAATCGTGGCAGCGGGGGAGCTTGAAGGACGCCCGCCTCGAAGACCTCATCACGATGTCCCTGCTGGAGTATGAGCCCAACTACAATGAGGTGGTGCAGATCTGGCGCAGCTACAAGAAGCGCCGCCCATTCGGCAATGTGGTGGCACCACCAGCAAGAGAGGGGGAGGGGAGCGGTAGCAAGGGAAAGGAGGTCCTAGAGGAGGAGGAGATGGACGAACTAGAAAGAGACGATGCAAACGAGCAAGCTTCTTTTGATGATGACTTTTGATTAGAATGCTCCCAGACTCCATGCTTAGCTTGCTTGCTAGCAAGATAGGATTTGGTTTGAATTGAAGGTTGTTTGCATGCTTCGTATTGTTTTTAACTTAAAATGAAGATTACTACTGCTATCACCCATTTTCTATGGGGGACACTGATAGATTAGACTTTTTTTATTAAGTAACACTGAACTTTCAGGCTTTTTTCCAAGACGACCCTGACGATCAGGGTCTAGGGGCAGAGGAACCCTGATACCCTTACGTGCCTCAAAGTGAATCTGAGGCCCTGAGCCAAACCTGCACCCAACCTCATTTCCCGAGGTTCCCTCCTAGGCAGGCTAGCCCTACATTCGTCTGTGCATTCATTGTATTCGCAGTTCATTCAGTCACTGCCTCGTTATTCGTTTACCTGCGCACTCTCCTTTACAACTCATAACACCTGGTATCAGAGCTACTTTCCTAGTTCACCCCGCTTTTCCGAGGGTAGTTTGGTGGCATAGGGTGATGAGATAGCTAGGCAAGGTTGAGTCAATGGTCGAGAGAGTTTGGTACAAGGGGCATAACCCTAAAGTTCTATCCTCTATAACATCTACCCCACTGCAGCCTACCTATATATATAACACATATATATCATTTGACACACCCCCATAGGCAAAGTGGGGGAGAGCAAAGGGTCACAAGATCAGTCAAAAGAAGCAAAGCAAGCTCAGGGTGGATCACAAAGTCACCACACTGTCTGAGCACAAGCAAAGGGCCACGGGGCCAGTTCACAAGCATAGATATACATGCAGCAATAGCAGTACAGTGATGACTATCTAACAAGAGCCAGCAAGCAGGTATATAGATAGATCACAGTACAAGCAAAGACTACAGCAAGTGAGGAAACGTAGGCACAAGGCCTAACAAGGTACAAAAGCGCTGATGATCACCAGACGGAAGTGCCTTGGTGAATATATCAGCAGTGTTGGCTCCAGTGGCCACGTGACGAA